TAATCGTTGATTGCGCAGCTTCCAGGCATCAGGACCATATTTTAACAATAAATCCAAATTTTCCATTCTGCAGATTGACCAGTTCAATCATTGTAAGAACTGGAAGACAATTTTGACCGGTGTGGATTCTAAAGGAGGTAAATCTTAAAAAGGTTTGCAAAAATTTTAAGGAACATAGATTGACATCCATTGCAAACGGTGACACTACAGTACACTTCATAGCTTAAAGAATTGAAGAACCTCCTTCAAAATTTTAGGGTCAGGTAATCATGAAAGCAAATTAAATAAAATCTTTGATGACATTGTCAAATACAATGCCATCCTATATCAAAATCCACGGGCTTATGCTGACCTATAATTTTTCACTATATCAAAATCCACGGGCTTATGCTGACCTATAATTTTTCACTGCAATGGTTTTTATCCGCAAGTACAAGAGGTAAAAAGGCTCTACATCAATGGCACATATGACTATTTCGCCACAAGGGCTTAGATTTTCCCTTTGTAAAGAAACTCACAGAACTCTAGATAGAGCATTTACGTCGTAAAATATTGACCTGATCATTTGATGTTGTAGGAATCGCTGCGCTCTCTAAAGCCATTGTTTCCAAGCAGCTTCATCATTTCTCTCATTCATTGGCGTCATTTCTAATTCATATCGCAGACTATCAAGAAGAACAGGAGGCCTTCCAGCTCGTACACACTCATACTCTCTTGCAATCATTGGGTAGTCCTGGAATTCAGAATGCACGAATCAATCAGAAATGATTTGGCATGGCATTCTTCACTAACCTTGTTTCAATTCAACAGTGAGTCAGACGAATACTGAATTTAACACGAATGCGTTACGCAGAAAATAAAACTGACAGGGAAAGTCAGTGCTACTCCCAAAGTTGCACCTTATGTATTGCATTATCTATTAAGCACTGTGATAGAACGCAAATTCTTTTTTTTTTTTTTTTGTCCAACCTAAACTCATAAAGCGGACAGAAGATGTAATGAACCCCACTAAGAGAGGGAGAAAAGAAGCTGAAAACAATGGCACACTCCAGAAGTGCAGCGAGTAGTAACATCGGGAACAAGGCCCAAAATATAATCCATAGGTGACGATGAAGATATAGAAGTGAACCCACAGTAAAAAGGCAAAGCTACGTCAAAATTGAACTTGGGTGGTGGGGCCAAGTCATTGAGAAAATCAGCAGGCTTCTTAAAGCTGGGTCGCATCTCTTCCTCGAAAAAGGTCAACCTCAGCCTTGACCCTGGGGCCGGCGTAGTCGTCATCGATGTAAGGCAACGCATCAATGATTTCGGCATCCGAAGCGCTGGGCCGAGCATGAGAAGGTGGAGCTTCTAGCACCAGAATTTCTCCATTGTTTTAATCCGCCATAGTTACGGTGTCAAATCTGCAAAGTGCGGAGACTGGATGATGGACCTATGGCACAGATGACATAACATTAATGGCAACGAAGCTTGAAGATGTTAATCATGAGTATGGTGACATGCAAGGAGCTCAATACTTCCAATCCAACGTACCTAAAGACCCATTACAACATATTGGAGGTCCAATGATAAGAGCCCGAACTAAAACCATGAAGCAAGCCTTGTTCAGTCTTGTGCAAGAAGTTCAAGAGCTTGAAGAGCATTGGGGCACTCCTTTCAAGCCCAAAGGAGAGCATCTATACATGTATAATGTATTTAAAATCCAAACTCATGAAAAGTCAAGCTCAAGAGATGCAAACCTTAGTCTAATGCAAGGAAGACTATAAGTTGAGCCTCTTGCAAGCAAGGAGAGGCATGAACAAGCAAGGAGAGGCATGAAACCCTAGTGAAAAAGTCAAGGGTGGCATGATTTTAAATCTTTTATGATCCCTTGATTGTCTCCTAAATTATTTCCTATTTTAATAGTCTTTTAATTTGATTTTTTATTTTGAGTCTAGTCAAAAGTTAGAATTAATTATAGTATTAATTTCTAAATTTTGTAATCCCATAATTTTAGGATCACATCTCCTAAATTATGTAGTTGAATATTTTATCATTATTTTATATTATTTCTCCTTTTAGTATTAGAAAATTAGGGTTTTAATTTTAGAAAATATTTTTTTCTATGAGCCTATATAAATTAGGCATGCTCCCTATTGTAAACAAGACAGAAGTTGAATGAAATTATTCATTTTAGAGTTTATAACTCTTGTGAGCCTTAGTGCTTTATGGTGGCATTCCGTGTAAGAAACAGACGTGATCAAAAGCGTGATCAACTCTTATAGTGCCTTCGAAGGTTGAGGTTCCTAGAGGCAGGTGCTTTAGAGGATCTTCGCCTTGATCATTATCCTATTATTTACTTCATACCTTTCTTTATTTCCGTCATAAATTTCGTCCCTTTCTTTTTGTTCTTGTGTTTTTGTTGTTTTAGGGTTCTGTCCCTAAACTAGCACGATTCTGCTTCCGCGTCCCTATCACTGGATTCTTTTTAATCAACGAGGAGTAACTTGATTTTTACCTGCGGGGAGCGTGCGTTGTGCGACTGAGCCACAATTGCAACGACAAAGCATGGGAGGGAGATCTCTAACGGCTTCCATTCAACCCATTTAACCCTTGAGCCCTCTCAACCTAAATTTCAGTTTAACGAAAAAGGTCTTTGTCTGCATGCATGAAAACAAAAAATTAAAAAATATCAAAGGACTTGTCTTTTGATATGGGAAAATCACAATCAAGAACGCCCAATGACAATTAATTACATTATAAGATTAAATAATTTTAATATTACTCTGCAAAATCAAAAGACTTATATATAATTAAAATTTGTTGTGAAAAATAAAACTATCTCTAATGTATTTTTATTATGATGGGGGGAATTGATTGGTTTTAAAATGAGAATGAGACTTATTTTTTTTAAAATGAAGACTTGTTTACCAAACTATAACAATTTCTCTATCAAATTCATATTTTATAGTTGTTGATGAAGAAATTGGTTGTTGTTAGAATGAAGAATGAGAATTATTTTTTTTCCTCAGATGAAAACTTATTCAATGAATCACGATCTTTGTTTTTCTTCATCACTAAGTTAATTTTTTAAAGTTATTAATAAAGAAATTGATTATTGTTAGAATGAAAATGTGACTCATATTTTTTTCAAATAGTGACTTATTCACCGAATCATAACACTTATTTCTCTCTCTGCCAAATTAAATTTTTGAAATTGTTAATAATGGAATTTGTTTTTGTTGGAATAAAAATAAGAATTATTTTTTCTTGAATGGATACTTGTTCATCAAATTACAACACTTAGTTTCTCTTTACCACCAAGTTAATTTTTCATCATGAAAATATTATTTTCCCCTTTTTACCATTAGTTATAATTCATAAAGAGTGAAAAGAAGGTCAAAAATTCACACACACACAAAATTAAGTTAATAAATATAAAAGCTAAAATGAAACTTTTTTTACAAATAATAAATTTGTTATATTTTAAATTAATATTAATTAAAAAAATTATATTTTGAATTGAAAGTAGTATAATTGCTACCACCAGCTAATGTTTGTTGTGGATGATTGATAAAAGAGAGTCAATGAATCACTCCCTTATCCTTAATATACACACTCAGAAGGTTGATGCCTTTCTCTTATCTATTTTAATGGAAAAGTTGATTGCATTTTCAATTAATTAGGATTTGAATATATACACATATACATCTATATCTATATCTATATATATTGTTGGAACTTCGCAGGCATTCATATTATTTCTTGATGTGCTGCGCAAGTCTTAACAGCCAATACCTATGCTTTTGTGTGTGTGTGTGCGCGTGTAAAAATGGGGGGGCCGGGGCTAATACCCACAAATAATCTTTTGTCGTGTTATATTGTTTTCTAAAAAAATAATAAAAAGATTGCATATTATAAATTTAAACTTATCTGCAATTTAATTTTTATCACCAATTAATTTAAAAAAACAACGAAATAGATGAGTTGCAAAAAATGGCCTAGTTGATAACCAACTCATTGATTGCTAAAATTAAAATTATATCTAAAATAGGGCTTGCGCCCGTGCTATACAAAAAAAAAAAAATTTAAAATGATTTGAAATATAGTTTTTTTTGGGTCATTTTCAACTCATTATAATAGAGAGGTTAAACGCAAATTCTCCGGGCAGACGATGCTTAGCAAGATTTTCAACTGAAGATGATGAGTTTATGCATCTATCAACATTGTCTATGGCAAAATATCAACAAAATTTCACCAAATTTATTATTAAATAAATTTTGATGGCTTTCTTGTTTTGAAAACCACCATACACTTGTAAACATTCTCAACTATTTCTCATCAATCCCCTATCTTATAACATGAAATATTTGAGAATTCATTGGATGGTTCTTAAAATCAAACCTTTCATTTAATCGCTATAACTGAAACTGATGAAAATAGTTAATACGTGACAATGGTAGCAATGTAATGATTGAAAAAGTTATTAAGAAATGTAATTACTAATAAATAATTGAATTTAATTCATTACTAATATATTACATAGAAAATTTGTATAAAAACATATAAGATAGATTATAAATTTGTAAGTTTATTTCATGAATATGGCATGGGAATTTGTAAATGTTTTTAGGGTTTAATTGATATTTTTCTTTTACAACTCTCATCATGTCTACGTGTCAAAATTTGAAATTTATAACTTATTCCATGTATTTTACTATAAGATTTTTATAAACCTATTAGCAAATAAGTCAAATTTATGAACCTTATGGCAATAAATTTGCTTTCCTTTGATGCACACGTAATTTTCTCATAGAACTTCACAATGGGCCTGAAGAAAAACATACTAAGCAAAATATGGATGCACATTTCTCTCGTTAAAATGACAGTCATCATCCATAACCCAAAAATTTGGCCAAGAAAGGTAGGAAACGCAAAAAAAAAAAAAAAACCAGGCTCAATGACGAGTAGCCCCCAAAACCCTAACTCGCACACCGTATATATTACTAATTTTCCGCATTCGCACTCTCTATCTGTGGCCTCTCACTTCCGCAAACCCTAGAAGTCGAATAGAGGGAAAGATTCCAAAAGTGAGAAGCAGGAAGAATGGCTGAGGGGCTTGTCCTTCGCGGCACCATGCGTGCTCACACCGACATGGTTACCGCCATTGCTGCTCCAATCGACAACTCCGACATGATTGTCAGCTCTTCCCGTGACAAGTCCATCATCTTGTGGCACCTTACCAAGGAGGAGAAGACCTACGGTGTTCCCCGTCGTAGGCTAACCGGTCACGCCCATTTCGTCCAGGACGTCGTCCTATCATCCGACGGTCAATTTGCGCTTTCCGGTTCCTGGGACGGCGAGCTCAGGCTCTGGGACTTGGCTGCTGGTGTTTCCGCTCGCAGGTTCGTGGGCCACACCAAGGATGTGCTCTCCGTGGCTTTTTCGATTGACAACCGTCAGATCGTCTCCGCTTCACGTGACCGCACGATTAAGCTATGGAACACTCTTGGCGAGTGCAAGTATACGATTCAAGACAGTGATGCACATTCTGATTGGGTTAGCTGTGTTAGGTTCAGCCCGAACACCCTTCAGCCCACCATTGTCTCGGCATCCTGGGACCGAACCGTGAAAGTTTGGAACTTGACAAACTGCAAGCTGAGGAATACACTGACCGGTCATGCTGGTTATGTGAACACGGTGGCAGTATCTCCTGATGGATCTCTGTGTGCAAGTGGTGGCAAGGATGGTGTGATTTTGCTTTGGGATTTGGCCGAGGGAAAGAGACTGTACTCTCTTGATGCTGGTGCTATCATCCACTCTCTCTGTTTCAGTCCTAACAGGTACTGGCTCTGTGCGGCCACAGAGCAGAGCATCAAGATTTGGGATCTTGAGAGTAAGAGCATTGTTGAGGATTTGAAGGTCGACTTGAAGACTGAAGCTGAAAAGGCTGATGGTACCACCGGTGGCAGCAATACGAAGAAGAAGGTATATTTTGTTTGGTTAATTTTGATTGATACCGCTTTGCAGTTTTATCTTTGAGAATTCAATGAGAAGTTTTAATTTAATATTCAAAGCCTAGAAGTTTCCTTTATGGGATCATTTTAGCACTCGTTTATCCATCGCAATCTGATTACCTGTTTCAATACCATTCGATGGTTACAATTCTTTCCACTTAGGAATCAATTAGTTTGTTGTTTCTTTTTGTAATGCATGTTCATGTCTTCTATATCAATCAATCATATTTGAGCTTCATCCTTCTCTCCACTGGTTTCTAACTCGTTCATTGCACTTAACATGAGGAATGTTCTTCTACCCTGTATCTTATCCCTACTCATTGATGTTCATCTTCATCTTATTGTCGTTATTTGGGGGGTGCCTACTTGTATATTGCTTTTAATCTTGAAATCGGGCGTCAATATTGTTTACAATCTATACCGTGTTTTTAATCTTGAAATCGGGCGTCAATATTGTTTACAATCTATACCGTGTTTTCTTGGCAAAAAAAAATCTATACCGTGTTTCTTTTCTAGACAATCTCTCTTTTGTTCGTTGAAGGATTCTCCCCAATTGATATCAGCGGTGCATACCTTGACTTGTGCTAATTTTCTTTGTTTTTGTTTGCCTGCTTTTTCCCTCGGGTTTCTTTGGCAGTTGATAATGTGAATGTTAATGGTAATGGTTTGCCTCTTCTACGATGTCTTGTAGGTTATCTACTGTACAAGTTTGAACTGGAGCGCCGATGGAAGTACATTATTCAGCGGTTACACTGACGGTGTAATCAGAGTCTGGGGTATTGGGCGTTATTAGTGAAGCTTCTCACAGTAATTCTCATCTCATTTTTGAGAAGAAACTAGTTTACTGTTTTACTTTAGAACTGTCAAAAAGTTTTTCTAGGTTGTTGAATGTGGAATCTTTTTTTGTGATCAATTTGCATGTTGAAGATAATGGCTTTGAGGCCTTTTATTTAAGAATCATATGGTTATTTCAGCTTTTAATCTCCAATCTCTGCTCGTCAAACATGGTGTTATTTGCTATTTTTATGTGGGAGGAGGCAAATTTCAATTCCTCATCATCCATGCACCCCTGCGTCCTCATGGGATCAAAGTGTCATTATGCGTTGGCGTCATATTCTTTCAAGATCATGTGATCTGTAAAAGAAAAATGTAATTTTAGTTTATGACATTTTTGGTCGTAATTACTTGGATACTGAGATTTGAGACCCACCATTTGGCATTCTTCAACTGTGTTGTTAGGCTTTTTATAAATTTTTTTAACGTGTTCCTGATGGTTTTATTAATCTGGTCTTTGGTTGGAAGGGCTAATGTTATCAGAATTTTTTTGAAATAGTTTACTATTATTTTTAGTAAATTGAAAATTCTTAAGTAATACTTAAGAATACGATTGCTAAACAATTGGAAATCTGGATAATTTTTTTTGATGAAAACTAAATACAAATAATGTTTTGATGAAACAAATAAATGTTTAGGAAATTTTAGTAACTTTAGAACATGGTTTTTATTTTGCCATGCTACTTTAGAACACGATTATTTAACGTGTTTTGAATTGATTGTTAAATGTTCGAAAAACATGTGAGTGAATAACGAATTTAATGAGGGTAGTTTCGTCTATAACATGTTAAACTGAATATAAGCAAGGCATCCGTGATGAGGTTTAAGTGTGGTGGAATTACATTCAGTTTGGAAATTAAGCGCAAATAAAGATTAATATAAATTATTATTAAAATGAGAATGTAATTTTTTTTTTAAAATGAGATTTGTTGTTGATTGATTAATTTTTTTGAGGGGAGTTGAATGTGATTTTTTTGGTAAGATTTTTAATTTTTAATTTTAGAGGAAGTTGTTGCAAGTTTTTAAAATAAAAGAAATCAAGAAACTAGAAATTTTAATGAAATAACAAAGCTAAATGAATAAAGTAAAATCGAATCTGTAACGTTTTAATCTATGCCTTAATTACATCTTTTTCATGATTATGTTGAGCTTGAGTCTTTTTTATCAGATTATTTTTTATGGTGATTTAGCCACATGAAGACGCAAAAGCAAGGCACATGGTCTACTCATGATTCGTGAACGAGATAAGATGGTCCCCAGCGAAGCGATCCCCGGTAAGCAGAGTTAATTGGCCATCATTCTGAAGTATCCCATCGCGGCCCATTCCCAGCCAGAGGCCCTTTTTTGGGACACAACTTCTCTTCATTCTTTTTTTATTCACTTTTCATTTCAATTATTAAATTTATTTTTAAATAATTAAAATTTAATATTTTATAAAATTATTATAAATCACAACCATTTAAAAATAATCAGAAGTGAACTAAAAATCGAGAGGGCAAGAAATGAAAAGAAGCTCAATCCCATTTTTACTGTGTGTCAGAATTCACAACGTACGGAGTTGTGCATTTTCATAAGCATGCTTGCGCATAAATATCCTCAATAGCAGGCAGGCCAAAATATCAAGCTCTTAGCGTTCCCACCAGAATGGCTCTCTTTCTTTTCTCCACACCCTTCATCCATCCCAAGCTCCGCCACACTCTCGCCAAAATGACCCTCTTTGACATCATTCTCTTCTGCGTGAGCACCCTAACCGTCCTCTGATCTCTCACTCTCTTGTAACCTCATAACTAGCTATTAGCTTACACTTGTTTACGTGTTTTTGTAACTCAGGTTGTCCATTTAGTGGACAAGCTTGGACTGTGGCATAGGTTGCCGGTGCTGCTGGGGCTGGTATACTTGGGAATCAGAAGGCACTTGCACCAGCGTTATAATCTGTTGCATGTTGGACCTCTCAATGGTCACAAGTACGACACCCTCCACTACGCTCATCGGACCCCCGACGGTACTTGCAACCACCCCACCGACGACTTGGTGGGCAGTCAGGGGACTTTCTTTGGCCGGAATATGCCACCAGTGACTTCAGGTTATGGGGTAAGCAGTAAGCTTGTCGTGTTTGAGTAGGCTCTGCCTCTTTTTCTGGGTGGAGTTTTAAACACCAAAATGTGAGCTCACTAGTACTGTGTCGTAGCATTCCACCAGTAAGTTTTTGTTCCTGTTGTTGCCTTATTCTTGGTGCATGATGGGATTGTGATTGCGAGTAATCGGCAAATCAAACTCGTCGAGTCATGAGAAGTTGGGGAAAGTGAGACTGAAAGAAAAGAAAACGTAAACAACTCGGGGAACCTTGTCCGAAGAAGCAAGTGCACGTAATTGCCAGGGATCTGATTAGGAGTCTAGTTAATTAGTCGCGTAAAACAAGAAATCTCAACATTCAGCTTTGAGTGCGTCTCTCAAATGCTTCTATAGACCGATTATACTGCATTCCGTACTTTAATTCATAACTCAAGGATTTTGTAGAAATTACTGAATGTTCTGATCGCACTGTTTGGTGCCTCTTGCGTAGTTTCTACTGACCATCAAGAATTATAAACAGGCATTGAACAAACTATTTTTCCCCAGCCAATTCGAAGGTTTATTACAATTAATCAATCATCCTCCCACAAATTTCCCCTTTTTTCTGGGTTACTTTTGAAGTTGCAAATTTTATTTCTTTGACACAACAAATCATCATCCGTATCTACAGTTGCTAGATCCTCACCCCACGGTAGTGGCGTCAAAACTCTTTGCAAGGAAGAAGTTCAAAGATACGGGGAATCAATTCAACATGATAGCCTGCTCGTGGATACAATTCATGATTCATGACTGGATCGATCATCTAGAGGACACTGAACAGGTAACTTACTTGGGTCTGCCACATCAGGACTCGTCCTCGCTTTTAAGTTACACACATGAATAACCAGATCAAGCCACCATTATTTTCTAGCATGGCCAACAAAATTTCCAAAACTCACTCTGCGTTTTGTCTAAAAAGATATCTTCTTCCATCCAAATTCCTAGTTCTGCATCAACTTGGCAATTTTCTCAGAATCTTGTCTACGTATATGGACCTGATATTTGGAAATTATATATATATATATATATATCCTACATGGCTGCATAATTTATTGACCAGGTGGAAATCAGAGCTCTTAATAGATATTCAGGCGGATGCCCATTGAAGTCTTTTAAGTTCTTCAAAACCAAGAAATTCAAAACGGGCTCGTCAAATATGAAGACTGGCCATGTCAACACAAGGACTCCTTGGTGGTAAGTAGCGCCCATGTAATATGAATAAAGTCTTGACATGAGACACCCTTGCCAGCCAATTAAGTGGGAAATCCGTTAACTGTGAGTGATGTAGGGATGGGAGTGTAATATATGGGAATAACCAGAAGGGCATGTCAAGAGTGAGGACATTCAAAGATGGGAAGCTGAGGATTTCTGAAGACGGGCTTCTTGAGCATGATGCCAGAGGTATTCCTATTTCCGGTGATGTTCGAAATTGTTGGGCTGGCTTCTCCCTTCTGCAAGCCCTATTTGTCAAGGAGCACAATGCTGTATGTGATATGCTAAACGTGAGTCTAACATGTTTGACAATATATCTTGCTTTACCCCGAGCATTGAAATACTCTGTCTCACATAGTAATGCGCTGCATTGTTGTGTGCTTATAGGCACATTATCCTGATTTTGATGATGAACAACTCTATAGGCATGCGAGATTGGTGACTTCAGCAGTCATTGCCAAAATTCATACAATTGATTGGACTGTAGAACTCCTAAGAACTGACACTCTTCTGGCAGCCATGAGGATCAATTGGTAAGGCCCTAGAGAATTACAAGGCAGCAAGCAAAATATGATAGTTAAGAATGATGACAGTATGCCTTGTTACCGTACTGATGCTTGTTTCTTATGTAGCTGACCTTTTGGAGTTTATGATTGGCAGGTATGGATTTCTGGGGAAGAAATTTAAGGATATATTTGGACACATTTGCGGGCCTATACTTAGTGGATTAGTTGGTAATAGGAAGCCAATAGATCATGGAGTTCCCTACTCGCTTACGGAAGAGTTTGTGAGTGTTTACAGAATGCATTCACTTCTACCTGATGAAATCGTCCTCCGAGGCATCAAGCTGCCGGCAGCAGAAGACAGATGTCCTCCTATACTTGAAAAGTTTACCTTTTTTATTTCTCTACTCACTTGACTATGCTATTTTCATAACTAAAAATTCCGTACTTTGTGTGGTTCTGTAGAGAATGAGTGAAGTTTCTTGCTTGCGTTCTACATAATGCAAACCTCATCAGAAATGGCATGTAAAGCTCTAAATTAGGTATGATACCATGTGTTTCAGGGTACCCATGAGCGACTTGTTGGGAAAAAAGGGAGAAAAGAGGCTATCAAAAATCGGAATGGAACAAATGCTAGTTTCCATGGGTCATCAGTCGTGTGGAGCTCTTGATTTATGGAACCATCCTACATGGATAAGGAACCTCATTGCTCATGACATTGATGGAGAAGATAGATCTGATCCAGTTGATATGGCTGCCATGGAAGGTACTTCTCTAATTCTCTTATCATCTATTTTTTCCCCTGGTGTAAAACCAGCTTGTTCTAAAATGATGAGTCTTTTAATAGTGTATAGAGATAGAGAAAGGGGAGTTGCACGCTATAACGAGTTCAGAAGAAACTTGCTGATGATCCCCATCAGCAAGTGGGAAGATTTGACGGACGATGAAGAGGTGATTGAAGCTGTGAGAGAGGTATACGGAGACGACGTGGAGAAGCTGGACTTGATAGTGGGCTTACATGCAGAGAAGAAGATCAAAGGGTTTGCTATTAGTGAGACTGCTTTCTTCATCTTCGTACTTATGGCTTCGAGGTATGTTGAGATCACTATACTCTGGATTAAAAATTTGAACACCAACATTGTTGAATCGTTTGTTGTTGTTTGGTGAGGAACAGGAGGCTGGAAGCTGATCGTTTCTTCACAAGCAATTTCAATTCGAAAACATACACAGAGAAAGGGCTTGCATGGGTGAACAGAACGGAGAGTTTGAAGGATGTGATTGACAGGCATTTCCCTGACATGACAAGAAACTGGATGAGCTGCTCAAGTGCTTTCTCTGTTTGGGATTCAACGCCAAATCCCACAAACTACATCCCTCTGTACCTGAGATTAGCTTCGTGATTTTTTTTTTTAAAAAAACTTTTTTGGATGCATTTCTAGTATAACCTACGTCTTATTCTAGAATTGATAATTCTCGAACACAGCTTCGTCTTATTTCAATCCCATTCTTTTTAGTTAATTGCTAGTTCATGTTTTATATTTGAGTATAAATAAACAGTAATTAGAACACAACCCCTGATGGATCATAAATTCGGAATTCCGTATAAATGTAATACATGAGGAATAACAAGTAAGAAAAAAAAGATAAAAATATTTTTAGTTGTATTAAAAATTTGTTCAATGTTTCCCCAAATCTAATAAATGTGCTAGTTTTTAACCTATTTTTAGTTTTAGTTATTTCTAACATAAAATAAGCATACATTTTATTAGTTATCCAAGATGTTACAATTAAAATTTTTACTCCATGTTACAACTAATTCGTTGCAATCCAATATGATTTTCTCAAGATCTTTTAATTTGTTGATATGGGGACTCAAATTTGTTTTGATTCAATTACTCATGGTAGCATTTGCTCTTCAAATAATAACATACTCCTTTTGTTTTAAAGTATAAGATATTTTTAAAAGAAATTTAACATTTTAAAATATAAGACACTTTGAGAAAATTAATGTTTCATTAAATAAGTTTATTTTAATATTAACTTCTTTCTTTAATTTTCGTTCTTCCTTCTTTTCAATCTATTAAATGAATGATTTTTTTAAAAATTTATATTTTTATTTTAAAAAATAAATTTATTAAATATATTCAATTAAGTTTATTAATATATATAATTTGAGATAGAAAGAGTATGTGAAATTTCATTGTTTAGTTATCAGTGAAAATTAATTATCCATAAGTAAAAACTATTGAATATGATGAAAATGGCAAAAAAGAAGTTAACCAAATGAAAAAAATATGTTTGATATACATATAGAAATAAAATATCATTTTTAATAAAATGATAAAGTAATGAAAAGTGCAAATTTTATGCATTTAAAATGCTTATTTTTAATTAGATTAAGACATGAGAATTTTTTATATATACTTAAAGTTGAACTTTTTATACTTAATATTATTAATACATTAAAATTTATTTTTTATTAAATTAGATAAAAAATATTAAATATATAAAATTAAGTATATAAATATTGTCATCGAAAAAAAACCATGCATAGAAAACTATCAGAGTTTGCTTCGAATTTTGGGCTCAAGCCCCCCCCCCCACCCCCGTTTATTTTTTTGTGACCTTTACTACCCTCCCTTTTTACACGAAAGAGAATAATTCTTATCCAAGAGTTCAGAGTAGAAAAAAAAGTAAGTGTAATGAGCGCCTGAGGCCCCAAATTGCAAATGAGATCTGTCTTAACTCTTAAGTATTTTACGGGCTGACAAAACGGCCGGAGGTGAATTCACACGCGTATAGATGAAGTCATGAAACCGCGCGGGTCTTTCGTGAACAGGAGAGAATTCAAATACTTTCGCGGCAAAAAAAAATTCTATAAAAAGACATAACTGCCCTCGCCTTCATAAGAAACGAAGACTAAAGACCAATCACTTTGCGCCGCATCTCACCTTCAAGTTGACTGTCTTCATAGCGATCTCTGATTGGACTGTGCATGTGGTCAAAGTTTTCTTAGTGAACCTGTACCATCCATTTTCTCTCCATCGATGCGTTCCATTTGCTTTGTCATCTGCTGCCTCTCCCGCCATTTTCTCTCCTTTTCTGTATGTTAAATAAGTAAAAACAAACTTGGGGAAAAAGCACGTGAAAGCAGCGAAGGAGAATAGGATTGAACCCAGAGGCAACAACCCACCCCACTGCAAATGGGTATCAAGGATCTCCTCCGATTCATGAAGCCCTATATCGAAACCATTCACATCAACAAATATGCCGGACAACGCGTAAAAATCGCATCCCGTTTATTCTAAGCCTCGTATTTATTTTCCTCCTTCCTTTGAGTTTTATCTAGGTGTGTTCTTTCTCCTTAGCTTAATCTTGTTTTTCCTCTTTTGGTGCAAATATGCAGGTGGGTATTGATGCTTATTCATGGCTTCATAAGGGAGGTAAAGAATATCATTTTGTTATACTACGGACCTGTTGCTGTACTGACTACTAACTTCTATCATTAATGTCGTTGCACTTCGGGGTAATGATGAGAAACTGATGAAATATTCTAAATTTTCAGCTTATTCCTGTAGTATGGAGCTTTGTCTCAATTCTGACACTGAAAAGAAGTTCCAATACATAGAGTACTTTATGCATCGAATCAAGCTACTTCGCTACTATAAGATAACGCCTGTTGTTGTTTTTGATGGCGGCAACGTTCCTTGCAAGGCAGCAACGGAGGAAGATAGGAAGAGGCATTGTTCTAAATTAATCTTCGTCTTTTGTGTTTGTCCCTCCAATTTTGATGAAGGCGAATCTCTCGCTAGTAAGTATATAATTTGCCAACTTTTCTCTTGCTTCAGAAAACGAAGTGCTAATCGTGATTTGGCAATGGCTAAGCTCAAAGAGGGGAACGTCAATGCAGCCTCGGAGTTATTTCAGGTACACTTCCCTCCCTCTTCTTTTCGAATCATTATATTTGTTCAGCATTCTATTTAATTTTATCTTGGGATTTTGCATTGGAGATTACTCTAGGAATGGTTGATATAATCTATTCAAATGTTTTTCTGGCATAATCATTAAATGAGGTCCTTGGCACCAAAAACATTATCTAATGAATCCTGTTTCTAACTGGTGGGTTACAACTTGTTATATATATATATATATATATATAAGCATAGCCTAGGTAGAACAAACATAGTGAGCAATTGGTCCGGAGTGTATAAATTGTCATTGCAGAATATGCATAAAAATTTGTTTCCTTTTCCATATGATTCGTTAACACTCATCTTCGTTAGCATTCATAGAGTTGGCATTCTTTTGTGTAGAGGGCAGTGAACGTCACTCCCATCATGGCTTATCAACTGATTCAGGTATGTTGTAAATATATCCTTTCACGCAGATTCATTACCCATGGTATTATGAATGACCCTCGTATTACAAGATGATACTATAGTTCAAAACAACAATCTGTTGCTAAATCTGCACTTTGGGGTCAATCCAATTAACTACCTCACAGGTTTTGAGATCAGAGAAAGTTGAGTTTGTTGTAGCTCCATACGAAGCAGATGCTCAGCTAGCATACATGTCCAAGATTAAAACAGGAAAGGGTGGTGTTGTAGCAGTGATCACCGAGGATAGTGACCTAATTGCCTACGGTTGTCCAGCTGTAAGAACCTATCCAAGACTTTGATATTGTGCATCAAGGTTTACTGCTTTCCTGATGACTTCCTTACATTTTCTGCTTTAATTTTCAATTTAAAGTATAATGCTGCTATGATTTGAGATTTGCAACGGTTGTTTATAGATTGTCTTTAAGATGGATCGTTATGGGAATGGTGAAAGCATAGAGTTGAACAAGGTTTTTAAAGCAGCGACTTGTAAACCATCCTTCCGAAATTTTGATATGGAACTTTTCACAGGTAAACTCATTTCAAAGCAATGTGTGCTTAATTATGCACGTTTCTTGATAGTTTGCATAATTGGATGCAGTAAAGCTTTTCCATCCAACAATAATCTGGCAACGTACTTGTATCGCCATGAATAAACCATGGAGTTTTCAAGGGAAAGGGACAAGGTTGTTCTGTTATCTATGATGAGCTTGCGGCGTCTTGAGATACAAACTTGCCTCTTTACCTCCCCTACCACTCAGGATGGGAGGAAAGAAAGGAAAAACCAAACAAGAAACTTCTAAGAACCACTTCTCTCACATGAAGCCAGACTTAACCTGATATTATAAGGATAATGTCAAGAAATTTTACCTAGTGTCAACAGAAAGATGTATTGTCTCTTATTAGTCAACCTGATGTCTCATTCTGAGGTTCATGACAGGCTTAAAATTGATTTTTCACAGGCATGTCTGTCTTAGCTGGCTGTGACTTTCTTCCATCTGTTCCTGGAATTGGTATTGTGCGAGCTCATGCCTTAGTTTCCAAGTATCGGAATTTAGATCGTGTAAGTGTGCCCTTATTTGCTAGGTTGAGGCAGTGGGAAGCGTGATTTCTTAGCAAAAGTTTGGTTGGTATATAACTTGCTTTTCCATTTGACTTAGGCAATTAGGCTCAAATATGCATGTAGTAAAAAGAAGATTTTATTAAAAATGCAAGTGGCTTCGTTTTCTTACTGAGAACATAAGGAATTCTGGAACTTATGTTTCGTGCCATTCATGTGTAAGAGAAACCGAAAGTCTAAGCAAAATGTAATGCAATTTGAGTTTGTCAATTTGGAGAGCTTCTTAGCAGCTTCTGATATATTTGTGATGTCCTGTGAGTTGGAGTTTACTTAGAATTGTTGTTAATAGTATTAAAAACAGTTAAAGAACTCACTGCCAGACTGATCGATCCATTGATAACAGGTGTTATCTGTTCTCAAGTTGGAGAAGCGCAATCAAATGCCAGAAGATTACGCCAAATCCTTCAAAGAGGCAATTGCAGTCTTCCAGCATGCTCGAATGTGCTAATTTTGAATCAGTTTTTATTTTCAACATATCAATATTTCTTATTCTTTCAGCAATGACAGTTTGGTTCTGAATTTTTCTATAGATATGATCCCACTGCTAAGGAGCTCAAGCACCTTATGCCACTTCCACAAAACCTACTTCAGTCCTTTGACGGAAATCTTGATTTTTTGGGACCGTATCCTTAAATTCTGTCTTTTTCCCTGAATATTTTGGATCTTTTATAGCTTGTTCACTCCCTGCAGAGTTATCAACTTCTCTCCCAGCATTTGTTGCGTGAGTGTTGTTAATAGCACCTCAGGTCTTGACATCATTTGGTGTTTCAACCTCCAAATAGATGCTTCAGTTGTTCTAGAGGGTGCTGGGATTTGTGCACGTTGACCTGGATTATTTTATACACACATGCATGCCTTGCAATGTAGCCTTTTATTTTGGCACGTTTTATACGAGAGGTTTTTTATTTGATCTATATGCATGTTTACTACATTTAATTCCCCCCTTAACCAGTCTAAATGCAATTAGAGAAATTCCTCAAGTAATAGTTACCTCGATAGCAGAAGGCAACCTAAACCCGTCAACTAAGGAAGCCTTTGATAAGCTCGAACATTCCGGACTTCCTTTGGACCCCATTGTTCTCAAGAGCAATCGTCAACAACTGAAAGTCCAAGTTTCTGCAGCATTTACACAGGAGAGCTCCTTCAAAGTCTTTGGCTCCCATAATGCCAGAGAAAACAGTACAGGCAAGTCATGTGACTTGTGGAAAGATCTCTATCAAATTCGAAGTTGATTTTACTCGGCAATCTTATGAATTTCTTTAAGTGCGTATATGTCCTTATACTGAATTGCCAACTTCATGTATTCTTTTTGTTATGTTTAATGGCGTGGATTATTTTTCATACCAACAGTGACAAGGCCGAATCTGGTCCCGAGCAAAGACAAGTATTCTGGCGAAGCACTGGCACTTCAGAAACTTATTAGACCATTGGTAACTTGTGGAACGGTAGAAAAGGAAAACATTCCTCAAGAAACTCCACTGAAGGTTCCTGGCAACAACCCATTCAAGATAAGACCTGAGGAACTTTCCTTATTTCAGAGAGAGAACCCCGATGAACAAGTTCTTGCTGCCAAGAGTGAGGAATATATGGACGTGTGCATTTATTCAGAGAGCTTTCCGGAAGAGAGGCCTGAAAATCTCTCGAGAAAAAGGAAATTTCAGACCATTTGCTCAGATCAAACGGAAACATGTGATGATCAAATTTCAGCGGTGACTGTGATCGAAGAGGAAGATCCAGACATGTTTTGTGGGAACGTGAAATCCCAAGAGAGTGTAAATTCCAAGACAATAAAACTCACTGATTTGAAAAGAAGAGGTGCAAGTGAAAAGAAATCCAAGAAAAGCAGTGGCAGGGAAACAGGTAGCAAGAATAGCAGTATCTTGAATTTCTTTTCTCGGGTGTAACATTTCTATGTCCGTGCACATGTCAATGATTTATGTCCCGGTTTATTAAGGATTGAGTTGGTTTCCTTAATTACCAAGTATTTTGTTAGAAGCAGGACAAGACAGCTGGCGATTTCTTTTAGTGGAAGCAGTTTAAACGTGTTAGTTGTGACATTGGCCAAGTGAAAGGACGCGGACGGGGGCTTGATTGATTCTGTTGCTGTGCAAAAAATGCATAGAAATTACACAAGTTACAATAAGATAATACGGAGATAATAGCATGGTATTTTAAAAATTAAATAATAATTGCACAGAGATTGTATAATAATTTCATAAATAAAAAAAATTAAATCAAGATCGTAAAGGAATTGGACAAAAATTGCATAAAAATAATTAAACAAATGCACAGATCATGTGGACCTATCACATTTATGCGTCCATTTCATCACACGATGGTCAAAAGATTGTTAAAAATGCAGAGAGGATAAGCAGTGTTAGGGTACGTTTGTTCGAATCGTCTTAGCCCTATCAATCCAATGAAAGGTTTTCTGGCTTGACAAAATGTAAAGTGATGACTGGGACTTATGATAGCAATCATGACAGTGTTCCATGTCATCACGGGTCCATGTACTGTGCTCATCACACTGATCTCGTTTAGATGTTTTATATTTAAAATATTATTATATATTTTTATTATATATTTATTTAAATACAAATTATTTTTAATTTGATCTAGATTTAATTTATAAGGTTCAATTTAATATTAAAACTTTTATAATTATTATATATTGAATATTTAAATATATTCTATATAGTTCAAATTTAATATCATTTTAAAATTATTTTATAAATTTTAAAATTTTCATTTTAAAAAATTTAAAATAAAATAATATTTTAAATTTTGACTGTTTAAATTAAAATCTAAATAATTCAGACTAGTGGGCACCATAGTGCTCACCTGAGCCAGATCCGTTTCATGTCCCTCCTAGTGAATTATTGAGAAGGTGAGTGAGTTTTGTTTTTTGAGTTTCTAAATGGCATGTCCACGGCTACGTCAGTAACCATGGAAAAAATCAGAAAAATCATTTTCTATATTTAATATAGCCATGGTTTTCAGAAACCGTGGGAATATTACATATCCACAGTTTTAACTATCGCTAATGGCCAAATAAAACAAGAAAATAATCAAAAAATTCTATCAAAATATATAAATGATAATAAAATTTCTTAAAATATCATAGTTTTTCTAAAATCTTTATATATCCTTTTGACATTAATAGTTTTAGATTAAATGATTAAATTGTTCCTTATTTAAAATAAAAAATAATGAGTTTATATAAAAAGTTGTGATTTTTTATTTAATTTTTTAATTCACAAAATAAAAATTATATCTGGTTTAACAAAAACTGTAATTAATTTTTTTCACAATTTAAATTTTAATAATAAAAGGAATTTTTATGTAAAAAATTATGATTTCTTATGCAATTTTTAACATTCATATAATAAAAGTTGTGATTGGTTATTTTTAAAACTTAAACTTTGATAATAATAAAAATTTTACATGAAAATTGTGATTTTTTATTTATTTTTGTGATTCATAAAATTAAAGTTGTAATTGTTAAATAAAAGTTGTGATTGGAATTGATTGTTTTTAAAAATTATTTATCAATTATGAAAGAAATTTCAGGTGAAAAGTTATAATTTTTGGTTTAATTTTTGTTAAGTAAAAGTCGTGATTGAAAAAATTAAGTTAGATTCGTTGTTTTTATTTTAAATAAAGAGCAATTTAGTCATTTAACCTAAAATTATTAATGTTAGAAAGATACCTAGTGACTTAAAAAAATGACATTTTAAAGGACCTAATTGTTATTTATATATTTTAATGAGATTTTACTATCACCTTATCAAAATAAAATTGGCAAATTCTACTTGTTTTTTTGGTGGTGCATGATGAATGGCAAAATACTAAGTGTTAAATATATAGAAGAAATACAAAATATTATTAGAGACGAATTGCCAAAGATGATGGGTTGTTAGATTTTTTGTTTTTCTAATGTCTGTAAAAATTTTGATATCGGATTGAAGTTTGAAATAATTTGTTTTAAATAATATTACTTGAGTAACTACAAATTTCTTAAAAGAATTTTTTATCCAAACATGTTTTTTAAAAAACTACTTTTCCATGCCCTTATTGTGATTTAACAAAAAATAAGAACTTTTGCATAGTTTTATCCAAACAAGCAAAGAAGAACATAGACGCTAAATGAAAGAAAGAACTACACGGGGGAAATTTGTTTCTCAGCACTATTAACTGTCAGTTCTTCCCGATCTAACAATGAAACGGAAACCAAAATATTCCAGAAACAGAATGAGTATGGCTTCCAATTTACAAGGAGCCAGCAATGTGTCTCGTTACTAAAACTATATCTTATATACAATATTGAGTTAAAATGAACCATCTGAGAATAATAGAGGAAGCTTGGCAAATTTATATTTGATCTCAAACATGCATTCTGAAACCAGAGATGAATCATTAATGATAACTTTATAAGATCGTTTTATTTAAAGATATTATCCATCGATTCACTGAATGGTAGAATCGAAGAGGTGACTACTATTGCTGATTCAAGCAAAACCGCACACGACATATATCATCGGTACTATTGTCTTTAAACACGTACGAGCAGCGACATCGAGATGGTGAGCTCAGCTGCTCACCGCCTGTTTCTGGTAAGAAGCTGCTTGAACCAGTACGCAGACATCTTGGGGTATCGATTGAGGGTATTGAAATCAACAAAGACAATACCAAACCTCGATGTGTATCCCAATCTCCATTCAAAGTTATCTAGCAATGACCATGCAAAGTACCCCACCACATTCGCTCCATCATCGATAGCCTTCTTTAGTTGACTCAAATACTCTCTGTAATAATTGATCCTTGCAGCATCTTGCAAACCTTCAGCAAGTGTCAAGTTCCCTGGATCATCCATCCCTGCAAAAGCATTTCGATTATTTTCATTCTTCCGGCTTCCTTCATTCACATACAATTAAGAACCAACAAAGTGCATCCCATCAAAAATCTAAAAATGACCATTTTCAGATAATATCACTGTTGGGTTTCCATAACGCTCCTTGATGTAGATTAATGCCTTGTACATGCCCCATGGTACTTCGTAGAGCCAATTTGAATATGCCTGCAAAATTCTCAATGGAAGCGGGGTTAATTCATTATGATCTGTGCATACCCGTCACCATTATTATTAGACTTACTCTTGGACCTATCGGCTTTCCATTCTTTGCATCTGCATTGTCCATGAGAATATAAAGTTCATTTGTGAGAACTACAAGCTAGAAGACAAAAAGAATAACATATGTACCAAAGGAAAGGTCATCTTACACGCAAATCCAACACTCCAGTCTTGTTGGTAGCCCAGGACTTGGGATCTTGGTTGACGGGGATTATACATGTAGTAAGTAGTATACTGATTGATGCCAACAAAATCCATCGATCCCTTCACAATCTTGACTTCTTCCTCAGTAAACTTGGGGAGCCTATTCCCAACAATTACCTGCATAGTTCTTGGATACTCTCCGTATACGATGGGGTGGATGAACCTGTGCGAATTTTAAACACTATAATTTGAAGGGTCTTACCCCGCAGGTCTAAACTAGTCAGCTTTACAGTGCATATGTTTAGGCTTCTTACCATCCAATATGAAAGTCTCTGGCTCTTTGAGCTGCATAACTGTCAGCCTTCGATCTTGTGAGAGGTTCATACCAAACAAAATCCAAGAGGATTCCAATCCTTCCCTTTTGCTTTTCCTGAAACCACCACATTGATCATAATGGCGTTAGAAGTTTTAACTCGGCTTGTTGAATTGAACATTGACATTCCACGTTTAAACATTACTTGGTAATTGTCTCGATATCTCTGAACGGCAGCTGCATGCATTAGTATCAAATTGTGGGCAACAATGTAAGGTTCAGTGGCTGAATTGCCGGCCGAACAATCTCCAAATGCTTTTGAACACCTTCCGGGGGCAAAGAAGCCATTATCATAACCAAGAGCAGCCGCTACTCTTGGTTCATTAAATGTCATCCAATTCTTCACTCTGTCTCCAAAAGTCTTGAAACAGAATTCTGCATAATCTGCGTAGTCTTTCCTGCAATTTGACTTATTTTTAGTAAAACAAGACTATCCAATAACTGGAAGCTCATTAATAATTATATACCACCTATCTTTCATGTACTCACACAACACTGCGGCTCAATAATCCTTGGTATTTCAACTCAAGAGCTAATGGGAGGTCGTAATGGTACAGATTTACATATGGAGTAACACCTGCAAAAGATTCAGACCATAAAAGGGGAGCACAAAAGAAGAAAAATACTAGTCCTATTTAGTCTATAAACTCGACGAAGAATTCAAGATTCACCTCGCTTCAGTAAGTGATTAATCAGTCTATTGTAGTAAGCAACGCCTTCCCAATTTACTTGACCAGTTCCATCTGCATTAACATTTAACAGTGTGCTCAATTATTAAAAAAAGTGTCAGATTTTTGGATCTAAAGCACAAGTGTTAAAATATAGTGATGTATAATTTACTTGGGAAAATTCTGGACCATGAAATTGAGAAGCGGTATGCATCAAAGAATAGATTTCCCATGATGTCCACATCTTCCTGTTAAATGAAACATGCTTTGGCACTTATTATTCACTTAGATAAGAAGACAGAAACACGGGAAACCTCACTATCTCTCTTATATTGAATATAGTACATGTACATAGGTATTTCTCATTAAAAAAGTCACCCTCCCTTCAATTATTTTTGGACCTTTTTGTATTTTCTGAAAAAAGACTTACTTTGTACCGATGATACTGATCCACAGCAACTTCTGCAGTGCCATTGTTTGCAATAATCCCTGTTTCCAAACGACTATAAAGTTCATTTTCTTAAAAAACAAAAAAAAAACAAAAGAAAGGAAAGAAAAGTAAATATTAAGTAACTAAAAAACTGTGACAATTTTGTTTAAAAAAAAAAATTAGTGTGCAGTTACAAAGCAATGTCTAAACAGACAAGACTTCAATTTATTGAAGCAGTTAACCACAATATATGATTTCATAGGTAGAGAAGCGGGAATGATGCTAGTAATAAGAAGTGTTGATGATAGTTAAAATAAAAAAAGGCGACTTAAATTAAATGTTGAAGGTGGAAATGAAAAAGGGAAAGGTAATGAACCAGGATTGTTTTGGATGAAAGCGTCCCAAATGCTGGGGCCCCGTCCTCCGCCGTGGGCCATGCCTTCCACTTGGTAAGCAGAAGCCGCCGTTCCGAACACAAAGCCGTTAGAAAAGTTGCTTCTGCTGAGACCTGCAGTGTCAAAATCCAAGGCCACCGCATCCTCATCAACCTCCCACGCAGCTGCAGCCCACTGGATCAGCACCAAACATAGCAACCACCAGAAGCGTCGACATGGACGCCCCCTCCAGCTCCCGCTCATCTTCATTCTCGATACTCAGAATGCGTCAGGCAGAAGCGAACTTTATAGTACACTACATTTTGTATTCGAGTGGATGCGATAAGGTTGATTCATGGACTAAATTTAGGTGTTACGAGGGAGAGGCATGCGTTCGAGTTCCAGAATCCGGGGCCGAAGAGCTGCAAGCTGCTTTGTCACGTTGCAATCTTTCCAACTTGCACGACAAGTAGAGATCGGTGAGTGACCATATTTATTTTATTATCACTATCACATGAATCTCCCTACATGCCGTTCGTCTTCTTGAAACAAAATTACGCAACATCGTTCATCTTTATGAATAAGTAGGCGACTCGCCTAATACTGTCAATTTCAGTAGGATCCACGACTTTTTGTATAGCCGCAGTTTTTGCTCCTTGGGCGCATGGTTGCTATTGCCATCAGAACAACTTTTGAATAATTTCTTTTTTTTTTTTTTCATCTTTCATTCTTTCTTCTCCTTCTTCTTTTTTAAACTTTTTTAACCTCAATTAAATAACTCATGATACTATATTAAATTTTTTATATTAAACATACTTAAAAATAATATGCTCCACCAAAATATTTTGAGCTATTTGCTTAAATATTTCTTAAACTTATATATTTATGATTTATTTTTTTAAAATTTAGAAGTGAGACTTATTTTATCTTCTAACAAGATGCAGCACCGTACATCACACCCACTACACCCACTGGAAAAGCATCCATTAATGTGTGATGTGATGAGTAAGTATATGGCCGAGAAGCCACAGATGGGGCGGAGGAACAACCAGTCTAATAAGTACAGTGAGAGGGGCAAGGGTTTGATGATCCGATCCAACAAAATCAGCAGGCACACCATTTCGTTATTTGCGCTACCAGTCCAAGTCAACAGCCCCGTCCCACTTCCCACACATACACTCACAGATGATTTGCTTTCTATATGCATTCATTCATTTCTGCACTTAATGTGTTCAGTCTTGCTGCAGCCAACATTATGATCTACCCTTTCCCTTCGTTCAAAACACGTAAGCGGTGAAGGCTGCTTGCTTTTCCCTTTCCCTCACTTGAAGCTAGCATACCAATTAATTAATTAATCAGCTTATGGCTTTTGCGTTCAGAAGTTAATTAGTCTTTGTTTGGAAAGTCACAAGTCAGAACATATGGTGCGGCCATGTATGTGTTACTTACCCCCCCCGTCCCACCCACCAACGTAACTATGTACATGAAGTCGATTCTCTAACAACTCCCTGATCCTGACTGATTAGGTACGTACATGACCACATTGGAATCACCGAGCGCACACTTTCGTTTGTACATCCAAACTCAACTCCTGACGCCACATCATTACATGAATTAATTTATGAAACAGTGAATAATGCTGTCCGCTTGATCCACTTTTAATAATCCGATTCCTTCTCCAGATACCTTACTTTTCTCAACTTTCTCAATAACAGGATGGATGCCAGGAGACGTGGAAGTTGCTCAGCCGCCCATTGAAGATGCGCGGCTCTTCTGCATCCATTGCTGCCACATATCATAATTTTGTTTCCTTGACTATTCAGTATCAACAAAGGAAGAGGAACTTTGGACATTAATGCTTCCAGTTGAAGTAACATATCATGCAAAATAGGCTGGACAGCAGCCCAGCAGCATATATAATATTCACGTAAAATATTACTCCTGACCTTAGTTAATTAAGCCATGCAGTTAACTCCAACAAGCAAATTTTGTCGGGCACAAGAACATAAAAAATATAAGAGAAAAGGATCAATAACTTAACGTAAGAAAAAACCCTCTCATTACGCTCCACATATGGCCTATCTTATTGTACCCGTTGATTATCAAGTAGAGTTCTGTCAACAAATGCAAGATCTTCGTAGCCATGTTCCGATTAACTGTAGCATCTTCATCATCTTTGCACATTACACTCCAAGTCGTGTTGAGAATAAAACACCTTAACACTGATTTCACGACAACATGAGGAGAAAATTTTCTCCAAACCAAATTCACTGAAACAATTTAGTAGACAGACACTCTTAATAGGAGAAGAGAGACTGAGATAGGCTCTCAAAGAAAAAAGAGCTGGGTTCCCGTAGGAGGAAGGACGTTATTCGCCATTTAAATATACTTTAATTCTTAATTTGGTTACCTCATTTTAAGCTTAAATAATTAGTTTCTCAATTTGACACACTCTTCTACTGAAAAGAAATTGTACCCCCTTTTTTCTAACCGACTTAAAAGCAAAGACCAAATTGTTGACTTTTGAAGCCTAATCAAGTTAACTTGCTCGGGAGAAAGGAGTTTTGTGCTTGTAATCAAACCTTCCTCGATTAGCACGCACTGATCGCGCAAGGCATTCAATTCATTAGGTAAATTATGGTGGACGTACCTGAAAATGTCAGCATCAAGTTCAAGTTTCTAAGTCTCATTTTTTCATATAAATTTGCCTAGTTGAAACTTGAAGCCCGTCTAGCTCAGTCGGTAGAGCGCAAGGCTCTTAACCTTGTGGTCGTGGGTTCGAGCCCCACGGTGGGCGGTTGGTGTTTTTAATGCTTCCAATATTTTTGGCTTTTCTGGATTTCGTGGTTAACATATGACTTCCATATGGGCGCGCGGTGCCATAAGCAAAACGTGATTTTTTATTCACACATTTTTTTTTGTTTTCGTTTTTTTTTGGGGGGGGGGGGGTACCTGATGTTTTCACGTTCTAATCAATTTGAAAGGAAATAATTTGAGAGCAAATGTTTATTAGTTTTTTTTTTGTCAACTGCACATGTTTATCTCGGAAAAAATTTCTCATCGTTAAAAAAATGATGAACTTTTTTTTTTTTTTTTGGGGTGGGGGGTGGGGGGAGCTTTTTCTGGTTCCCTCGAAAATTCATCTGCCCTTTGTAATAATGTATTCCACCAGAATATAAAACCAGTGTGAAGATAGGTTTGGGTTGGGGACAACAAATTAAAAGGAAAATTAATTAATTAATGGATGCTTATAATTTCCAGAAGTTATCAACTCAGTCTTTTTGCGTTGAAAACTAACATCTTATGTAATCCTCACAGTTTAAAATATGTACAAGTAACTCAGGCTTAAAAAGAAATAAAAAAAATCATTCAAAAAAAAAACTCAGGCTTAAAAAAATTTAAAAAAAGCTGCAAGTGAGAGAGTATTTATGTTTGTGTGGGTAGAGGGGGGAAGAGGCACTTAATTAACAGTGTAAATTAATGGATGACGTAAACAAGGAACGCAGGAATGAAGCGCACGGCAAAGATATATAATCAGGGTTTGGTAGCGAAGTAAATATAAATTGAAATGAGAAGAGCATGGAAAATAGAAGAGTGTTGTTGGTAGGGATAAGAGTAAGACCAGTCGATGAACCAACAGTTGGATATCCCTTCTATTCTCCATTTACTCTTCAACATCTCCATGCCCTATCTACCCCCTCACCCAATCATTCTCCTTTATATCTCTCTGTCTCTCTCGATCTCTCTTACAAACTTACATATACCTGAAAGTCAACATGATCCATAATTACTTGGGAAGATATACTTTCCCATTTACCTATATATTTAACGTTGTGGCAGTCGCTTCTTTCTCTGCCAAAAGCACCTCTTTTTCTTCCTTTCCGGACAGCTTTTTCCCTCTCCCCCTCTTTTCTTCTGCTGTTCATTCATTCTGTAATATTATGAGCTTATCCCTCTTGGGAAGAATATGCAGTGAGGGCTTCGTCTCGACTTGAAGGAAACCGACAATGTGTGTTTGTTTGTGTGCGTATTTCGTAGGTGAGTGATTTCTGTGCTTTCCTTTGTCAACTGAACATTTTCTTGCCCCTTCATCACTTTATTTCGTTGTCTGTTCGACCTTGAGCTGGTTATTTCTATGCCGCCTACATATGATCTGATTACCAGTCAACAGAATAGAGCAGTTCTCGCCACACGATCACATCGTCTTTCTTTCAATCCTCCCTTGCTATACCAAAAACACACTCTCTAAATAAGTAAATATATAATTCAATCTCCAGCTTTATAGGTTAGGACACAGTGATAAAGAACAGTGAACATATATTATGGCAGGTGTGTTTAGCAAAAAGAACTAGCTTATTATAATACATTCAACTAAGGTTCGAATTTTCTGTTAAAAAAAGGTGCCTTTATTTGTGAACACTTAAAAAACAATGCATGTACATATATTTATTTATTTTTGAAAAAAAAAAATTTACGCAACAACAAATCTGCCGCATCTGATCACGAGATCTAATAATTAATTGCGAGGTGAACGAGGATCGATCGAAAGAAATTTTAATATATTTTGCATGTTAAATAAATCAAATCAAAGTTGCACCATTTGGTCATAAGAAAATTTATATGGAGAGATGGAAATGAAACAGTTAAGGTCGGGCAGGAAGCGAAGTTGAGTTTTGCAGCAAGAATTGTTTGCTTGACAAAGGTTTTAGCACGGAAATCAATCAGTGCCATCATTCGTATGCTTGCCTTCACCATTACCAACAATGCATCTCTGGTATGTGGAAAACTCCCTCTATGTGTGCGCGTGTGCCTGTGTATCTTTTCACTCTTTTGATGTCTTTTCAGATAATTAAATTTGTTTTGTATGTTTGCATCATATAACGGACCTAACTCGGTAGCAATTTGAAATCTTTCATGCCACTGATATTGTATATGCTGTATTTCCTCAAAGAAGAAGCACAAGGATGAATTGGTTCAAGAGATCAAGGAAATGCTAGCTGATAAAATTTCAAGTGGCTAGAAGTTAGACGTTGTGATTGAAAAACGAAAGAGAAAGTGAGAAAAGATCATGTCCAACCACTGAAGTGATCTCGATAGCCCTTTCCTTTCCAATATTGCACCTCATAAGTATTTTGATTTTTGATGTGCAATTTAGTTATCTCCTTTAAAACTAGAACAGAAGGGCAATAATAGTTTGATATTACAAGTGAGATTGAATCATGACCTTCCACTTACAAGAGAGTTTGCGTGCTATTAGACTATAAAATCATTGACAATCCATAGTAAATTTATCTTCTTCCTTATGTTAAATCACTATTGAACTTCTGTCATTACTAGAAAAAACCAGTTTAGAAAGGGATATTTCATCATAAAAATAGGCTCGCTAATAGGGAATTGTCAAAAATTCACATACTACTACACATGTATCAAATAATATATTACAAAAAATATTCATATATTGTATTTTATTTTCAACTATTAATATGATAAAAAATTATATTGATATTTATATGACTTTTTAAATTATAATTTTACTAAAAAATATTTTTTTTGGAAAATGAACTTAAAATAAAGCAAATATTAAATATTAAAAAATTTTATTATAAATATTATAGTTAATTTTAAAATTTTATTTTTATTTTTTAAATGAAAATAATTAAATAAATAATTAAAAGTTATTCTCAAAAGTCAATTTTTTCATAGTCATTAGCTAAGAATAAAGTTCCTCACCAAAACTTTTAATATTTCAATAATTGTCTTATTTTTAGATAGACATAAAAATGCCTCACTATTTTTCTTGTTGGTTATTTTTATTTTTAAAAAAGATAAAAATGTGTCACTAATTATCGTATTTTAGAAAGGAATATTGATTTTTCACTAATTTCTCATTTTAGAGAAGGATAAATTTTTTTCACTAATTATCTTATTTTAAAGAAAGATTAACAATCTTTTATTATTTTTTTGAATAATTATTTTATTTCAGAGAGGCATTGACAGTTCTTGATTATTTTTCCTTACTGGTAATAAGTCAACTTACGAAATTAACATCCCTCACTAATTTAAAATAGACTATCTATCACTAAATTTCATAAATCCTAAACCCTCACTAATTTGTATTTTTTTAGAAGTGCATGATCACCTGTTCTCAAAAGTACATAATTATTGATGCTAAAGTGCCTCATATATAGAAGATCATGTTAATTAAACACATGTTAATATATACTGGGGAAAAATGAAAAATGGATGTGTACAATTTTTTTTTTTTTACTTGAGTGATGTGGGTACATATTAACAGCTTATAAATATACCACCTTAAGGCCTATATACTCCCTCCGTGCATGGCCTTTTCTTTTTCTTTTTTCTTTTTGGAAGTATTATATCAACAAAATATAAGACATGTTAAATATTTTAAAATATAATTAATGATTTTTTCCCAAAATACCCTTAATTAGGATTAGGCATAACAAGCTACAAGCATGCAGTTTGTTATAGCCATTAGTATATCTATATTCTTGCAGATATTATTTTACGGTTCAGTAGAGGACCAGAAATATTGGAGGATTTTCTCTCGCGTGGAAATGGAAAAATTGCAGAACAGACAATTTTTATGTCTCATAAACTTAGTTATCCTTCTACGATTGGTCATATATGTAATATATTCACCTCCTCCCATTCAATTCATGTTATCCTGCAGTAAATTTTGTAACGTATAGTTTTGTGTGAAAAATGTGAGCAGAAGAAACACGTGGGAAGAAAGGGAAACATGGGCTGGCTTGGCTCGGAATGGGAAGCAACATATATGATCTGCACTCGCATGCACACTCAACTTATCGTTATTCAATTCTTTTCATCATTTCATTGCCGGTCCAAAGAAAAAGTTTCATCAGTTTATTGAGTTTCTTGAACAGTCTAGATTAATATTTGCCCATTGCCTCCTTCCCGCTGCTGCCGTTCTTATAGTGGGACATACATATGCATTTATATACATCCAGACTTGTAGGTCACAGACAGTATCATACTTTGACCCTAGATGCTTGAACTACTTCTTTGAGACTGCTTTGAATCTTTATTTTATTTTAATTAATGGATAAACAGATCGTGCAGTACAATAATAATAACAATAATGAGGGCATCTTTTATGGAGGAAATTAAATCGTAGTGTGGTGTGGTGTGGTGTGGTGCGGCAAACACACAAGGTAATGTTTCTACTCTTGGCACTTGAATTTTGGGGCTATTATTAAACTGATATGTATGTGATGACGTTGTGCTAGGACATTAGGTTAGTTATGAGTTCGATATGATATAATGGACCGCATTACGCTGAATTTTGATGCATAAAAAATATTCTGGTCTTTATGGGTTGTGCTCAGCGCTAAATTGTAGGGTTATTTTATAGTAATTCAGCGTTGCACTTTTACTTGTGTGCTTTTAATTAGTGGACTGTTTTGAACCTTTCATTTAGTTTAGAAGTGCTGTATTCAATTTTAAATATGAATTAAATGTTAATTGTTTGTCAAAATTGAACATGGTTTATTTTTCCTGTAGCTGGCCCACCATATGTAATGATACTCCTGCTCCTACTAGCTCAATTATGAAATAAATTCACAATTCTATTTCCATTTCTTGACTTATCTGCAGGTTTTTTTTGCTTGAGTATTCATTGATCCAAACGCACAGAGACATTTTAGAATTAACAAGGCCAACATGCACACCTCACCTTGGCCAAATTACTGCTCAGCGTTCTCACCCGTCACCATCCTTATTGAGCGGGGGGCTCCCGTCCCAACAAGTATATTTCCTTTCCGGATCCGATGATGACCACATCCCAAGAAGAGATTTGCAAATTAGCATACCGTCCGTTTCGCGTTGTGACGGCAGCAACACTCCATCACCTCCCTTGCTATCAGTGTCGCTGTTGTTTGTGTCTCTGTTGTCACTGATTATCATGGCTATACATGCTGCTGGTCAGATATATACTTCGCATCAATATCCTAATATATTTAAGTATTTTGAACTTCGATTTACTGATATTAGTACCCAATAAGTCAACCATAACCGGCATAAAGAGGCTTCAAGCGCACAAGGCACCGAACAGAGACCCCGAAAATATAATGCACAAATATATATATATATATATATATTGATAATACAAAGATGCATAAGGAGTCATTTTATATGGCACAAGCAAAGGAGGTTGCATATACAGGAAAAGAAAACCCAAGATATGTGGCCTGCTTGCCTGAGCTCCTGTCCCGCTCCCTCCTTTCTTGTCTTCGTAATTCATTAACACAACCCAACACCAGAGAGAGAGTAAGAAACTTGGCCTGCACATAGAACCATCACGGTTTCTGTCTGAAACTGACAAACTCCAATAAGCTGCACACATATATATAACTATGCATACTTCCTCTATTATTTTTGTTTTGAAGCCAGCACGATTCAGCATATCAGCGCCTCCTGTTGGCAGGCTCCTTCTGAGAGTTGAAGTAGACGGTAGCCACAGGGAGTCCCAGCTCCAGTTGCCTAGCAAAGAAACGAGTGTTGAACCCAACTCGCGATGCCGGCTGGTCCACCAGTCCCAGTGCATGCTTTTGCCTGAACAACACCATTATATAGCGATGGATCCCTACCGGTGGTCGGGGCCCCACGTATGGCAGAATCTCCTTCCCTGTACATGCATTTCCAGGTTTCATAATGAAAACATGCTCAGCTGATGAGAAATAAATAAGCCAGCAACATATAAGTTTGACGCTTGGAATAAGAGCGAGATAGTGCTGCGTGCTACGATGGGGAGGTAGGGTAGTCTATAGGGGGGAACCCACACGTCACCAGACTTGGTGCGTTCACAAACGAGTGTGCAGTGTACCCGGAAAGAAGAAATTGGATGAATACACGAGATTGTGCCACGCACGCGTATAGAGCATACACGAGAAGGACAGGTGGAGAGGGAAGGTAACATTTGATCCGAAATTGGAGAGATTACGTGGCAGGGGACAGGTGCAAGGCAGATATTTTATAGAGAGAAGAGGGCAGGCCAAGGACCAGAAACATGCGAACGCATGCCATCAAATGACCTTAACATTCTTTGCGATGCTTAGTAAATATCTGAGATCTGACATCGCATCCTCCATCTCCGACAATAACTAGTTTCAGTTTTGTTGAGAGGGATGCATTGCATCTTGACAGAATACAAGGCACTCTGTTGGGACAATACCATAAAAATCAATTTACTGTGCATTACGTACCTTTATTTGGATTAGTTCCTCCAGGTATGTCAACCACGATCCTAATTTTTTAAAAAAAGAAAAAAAAAACAGAGATCAATTAGCGTGTAAAAAAGAACGGGATGTATCAAGTTATCTAAAAGGAACGGAAATAGTGAATAGATGAGTATAGCAAACCAGTGAATCCACTCGCGCATGCTTGGCTCGCTGGGACTGGGTGCATCCGGGTCAGTCATGACCTACATTCAGGTTACTAGGATATAAATTGATGGATTGGATTCCCTGGACAAGTGAAAAATGAAATGCGGGCATGCAGGAAGCGAGAGCAAACCAGAGTGTAGAGTTCATGGGTGTTGCCACCGAGAGTGATTTTGGGAGGGTTAACAGCCATGGAGGGCTTGATGTCGCAGCCATTAGTGACATGCTTGGCACCAAAGTACACGGACATGGTGACGGAGGGAACAAACATGTCCACCACATCGCCGATGACACGCCCCACCACCAGAGGATCAACGGAGGCAGACATATCTCTGTATATGCAGTAAAATCTCGCCCGGGCTACACCCGCTGTGCAGCGGAATTGGGTTTATATAGGAACGCAACCTGGGGTTCAACATACACCACATCCAAAACAAGGTTCATGCATGGGTCCATCACAAAATCAGGGGTTCCCGTTGCCTGCCACCTGTGTTGAATCCCTCGTCTCTTCCTCCCACATGGCCTTATCACGGCCGTCCCTTCGCATCACCACCCTACACATGTAGCCGCAAAGGGCCAATGCCTTTTGACGTTACATGCACCTTGACCTGAGCAGAGGGACGCTTCGGGTTGGGAAAATCAGCGCCGGAGAGGAGGAGGATGCAGATTCAAATGGTGTGCCGCGTAGCGCCGGACCATGGCACTTTCTCTTCTCCAAGGCAGCTCCTAATACTGACAGGGCTTGGGGTTGTGGCAGTTTTGAGAGTTGTTCGGCGGGTTTTAAACGGAGGGCTACGTCATGGATGAAGTGGAAGATTCTTTCTTGTGATTGTGAACAGCTAGCGAAGATCTGGCCAACCCATCAGAGGGCATCGGCGCATCGCGCCCTGTAAATTGCTAAAAATCATACAGCTTTTTTGCCTATTATAAGGACCAACATGAATGCACCATTGTAACCATTCCGGAGCTTGAGGGAGAGATTTCAATTTTGAAGCTGGCTGCTGACACACACGACTGCACTGAAATTAAAAGGAATCCATCCAGATGCGGATTTACTTCATTGATTTCGTGTTTTTTACCGCCACATTGTTTTCCCCAAATTATTAGATTATATAAGAACGTCTTTATATTAAATTGGGCTGGACTTTAAATTGTACATATCATGCTGCCCAAGAAGAATGAGCGGCCTCTGGTTGCCCTAAATATGATGCCCAAGAGAGTTGGGCCATGCGACTATAAGGATTATGGGACCTGCCTAATGGATTTCCCGATCCAAGCGTTCCTTTTTCTCCTTTGGGAAAACGATCATCTACCGGCTATATATTAAAACACAGATTATGGAGTAAAACTCCGATGCATGTATGATAAAAGAAGCTACGAATACTTTTTTCAATTCATTAAAAATTCAATTTTTTAATCATTTGAATAATTTGAATTTTAGGGTCCTTTTTAAACAATAATTTCTATAAAATATGACCCTTTGATGCAATGAAAGAGGTCTAGTTAAAAACCTCTATGACAAGTTGATAAGTGTTCGTGTAGTTTTTACAACATATATCAATAAAATGAATGTTTAAAACAAAAAGCTATATCAAATTTAACTAAATTCCATACGGAAAAGGTTTAGTTCAGCCAACCTACTATATAATAAATTACTAGGAAAAATTCCAGAGCCTAAAATATTGACGAACACTTGAAGCACCATCCAAAACAGATATTCAGATCTACACGGTGTTAGGGCTGATGGCCTGATATTAATACTTTGTTGCAGATAACTCTGCAAGATGCAGTGGTAGCAGAAAAGAAAGTAATAACAAGCCAACAGAAATAGGTACTTGGAGGTTGATGGACGCAGAGTGATCAGAGATCTCAGACGAATCAACAGCCAAAGGCTTTCCATCACTGTTTAGAGCGCAGGATTTGGGGTCAGGGCCATTAGTGCTTAACATCAAAGCACGGAGAATCCCAGAAACTGTACGAATATAAGCTGTGTGGTTCTTAGCCAAAAGCCATGTCAAGCCCATGAGCTTAGAATCTTTGTTGTGGATCTTAGCGATCCTATCCTCTGTCTGGCTTGAATTTGAAGTTTTCTTCCTGGGAAGCTGCGTAGGATTCAATATTTTAATCACAGCATCAGACATGTGTGATTCATAATTGAGCATAAAGAGGTTTGGTGCAAAACTATATATTAAAATAACACTTTGGCTGGAGAAACATCCACTCATAAACTTAAATAGTCAATGTTTAAAGCAAGTCCGAGTACCATGAGGCATGGGCATTATTTGTTTATTTCCTGGTGATGCCACATCTCAGACTAATAATATCTTCAAAAGCAAACAACCTTTAGAACTCCGTGTGAGATACAAGCTACAAATTTGGTAGTCAAGTTTTGCTCTTAGCTGAGGGTTAATTTGAAAATGTGAATCAAATACTGTCACTTGACAAGATAATTAATTCATAAGGATCGGGCAGATGATCAAATCTCAATTGCCAAGAGGAAAGTTGAGATTAGAAGTGTAATTTTCATGTTACTACAAGCCATTTAAAATTTAGTGTTTTCTCCATATGAAAACAGGCAAGAATTATTTATCCCAAGTTTGCAAACACCACAGTCCAAAGATGGAACCAGCTAAAAGGACTGACTAATGCCTTGAACCTAGAATAGGACTATGGGCATTCCTATAAATTTCAAAGGACCAGAATAGCGACAGAACATGTGCTTCATGAGCATTATATGTGGCTAGTATTTTTCTTTAAGGGCCTGACTTTAAACGCATGAATTGGTTAACTGTCATTTTTGTTAATTTCCAGTGACTGAGATTTCTAGGAAAATGTTAGCTCTCTTTACTAGAGCCGAAATGCCATCGTTTCGATTTACGTTCTTGAACTACACAAGCTCTTGACTCACAAAGCTAGGGACCCCCCCAATGAAGGAAACCAACAAGATGACCTTTCAACTTTATTAAGCTTCAAGAAACTGAAGATAAGAGCAAACTGACTCCTTTTCTGCTACAATTTTCATATGATATTACATTCCAATGAATTACACAGAAAACCAAGAAAAAAATAGGAATAACTCACCGTATAGAGATTGTTCAAGCATTTGGAGCACCTGCCAAGACCTAGAAATGTTTTCACATTGGTGCCACTGCTCAAGCAATTTCTCTTCAATCTTCTCACGTTTTTATTCCCAACAAGTTTGCCGCTCCGGGTAACCGAAAATGCCTCAAGCAACTGAAGGGGCGAAGCTGAATCCCACAATAGCAATAGACCACATCACAAGTCTCATTCGGCTAAATCAACTCGGACCCCCCCCCCCCAGTTTCAAAGCCTTTCCCAAACCATTCGCACAGGTTTATGAATCATCTGGAAGCAACAGCATGTCATTGTCATAGGATGAGATATGAGTAGGAGATCCAAGAACGGTGGCAAAATAGGGCCATGCTGCCAGCACCAGACAGCAATGGCTCTGGTGGAGCTCCCCTCCGGCATCCTCTTTGGTTGCTCTGCAAGTAGTTTTCACCCCGTGGAATAGCTCGTCCGAGAGATTCAGAGAGCACTCGGTGACCTCGGATTTTTCTGGAAATGCAGGGATTTTCGCAGGTGGGGATAGTTGGGGAAGAATGGCTGAACTGTGGCTGCGTTAGAGAAAGGTAAAGCAAGAAAGTAGGGGAGGAAGATGCAAAAATAGAATAATGGATATTTTGGAATCAAAGGCGTGATGATGAAGAGGTATAAGAGGAGAGAACGTGAAACCAGTTTGGGTGTGAGAGCAGAGGAATACGAATGAACAGAGGGGGTGCCCAGAAGAAAGAAGGAAGAGAATATTGGAATGAGCATGGCAGGGGTGTGGTGGGGAGTGTTATTTGGGAAGCAAAGGAAAAGAAAAGGAAAGGCAAAAGCTGTGGGGTTCAAAAAAGTTTGGCAGTATATGCTACTACCTTCTTGTCTACAAGGTTAGGAACCTTAAACAGATATATAATGATGGGGATTAGCAAATCATTCTTAATAAACTGATTTTCACTTTAGTCCAAATGATGCTTCATTTTAAACATTTACAATCTGTGTCTGCAAGGGAGGGCTGGGGTTGATTCACATGATTGGAGGTACCATATTCAATGAGAATAGCAATGGCTTAATGATATTCATCAACGATAGTTGTAAGCTTTATTGTCTTCTTCTATTCATTTAAATGATTCAATGTGCACTCTCTCTTGAGTTGAGATGTCCAGTGGCTGGGGTTAATGTTGTTGCTCAAACTTTGGTGTTTTAATCTTGCAGTGAAAGTTACCTAATCAAATACCTTTACTTGAACAGAGGTAGAGAGGTCCTAGCAAACCATTTATGGTGTAAGCATCTGAATAATCTGGCCCACTTCCATATTTATCATCTCACTTGCCATCAAATTTCGTATCCACATTCCACGATTCACATGTCGTCAAAAGTAAATATACTTTATAGGATGAGTCCTTTGAGTAAATATTGTGTGTGTGTGTGTGTGAGAGAGAGAGAGAGAGAGCAAAATCAGCAGATTACCAACAATGATGGGGACTTCGGCTTGAATGGGAGCAGATAAAGGGTGAGGCATGCGAGGTTAGATGATAAAAGCACCATAAGTGGAGGCTCGTTGCCGTGAATAATGTGCATGCCATAAAGGGGTGCCTTTTTGGTTCATCAAAGTGAAACTGTAAGTGTACGAAGTCCCTCCCTTGACAGGACATTTTGTGATATATGTTGGACCATCTGCCTATCCTCCTTGTTCGTTCAATTTGATGCATTTGATTGTCCAAAAAAAAAATAGATAAATGGTTTCCATAGCGTGATAGCTAGTCACAATTGAGAACTATCACTTAATCTATCAAAGTTGACAATTTCAAATTAAAGAGCTCTTTCTTGACTTAAGCCCCCTTTGATTTACTTGCATTTTATATTTAAGATAGACTTTTGAAAATTTATAAATGTTAAAGTTGTTTGGTTTACATAAATTTATTCTAAAGTCCATTTAAAAAATACATTTAAAAAGTTTTAAAAACTCACTTGTACAACTTAACCCTAAGTAGCTTTTTAAAAGTGCTTTCAATAATTTTGTTACCATTTGATTCTTTAGCCCATAAAATAAATGGTTAATTCAAAATAAAAAATAACATTGTGATAATATTTGAACACATGTTCTAATAAAAAATTTAACCAAAAAAACAAAAAAAACAACAAATATTAAAAAGAGATAACATTACAAAATTGTGATAAATAATTAAATCCTTTCTTTAATATATTGTGAAAAGAATTAAATATCCTTTTAAAAAAATGCCTTATAATATGAAGTAGGGATTGATGATAATATGAAGCATTTTTAATATGAAGCATTTATATAGCAAAAATTACAAATCATTATAGATTAATATTCTTTTTGCTAATTATACATTCAAAAGTATATTTTATTATATATAATTTAAACAACTTTTAATTTATTAAATTGACTTTTAAAAAAATATATCTAAATATCA